GGAGCTGGGATGGCTCACAGGTGAGGCTGAGGGGCAGACACACACCTCCCTGAGCAGAGGAGGAGCAATCCTGACTCCACACTGCGGGGACTCCCCACTCACCTGAGCTCTCCCAGTGACCTCCAGATGGTGTTAATAGCTATTCCATGTGTCTGCACCTCCCAGGAGCTGAATTAAAGGAGCAGAGCCACAGAGTGCCCAGGAGACTCCTGGTTTTCAAGGCTGTGCAGTGATGGGGAGGAAGAGGAGTGCAGCAAACCCCACAGTCAGCCTGATCCCAACTTGGTCTCTTTGCTGACATGTGAGGGGGAATATCCCACCTTGAGGGTTAAACTCATGCAGCTAAAAGCTTATCCAGCTCCCCAGTGCTGGAAAGAGCTGTTCTTACACCCAGGTGGGCTCCCTGGGACCCTGCTCAGGGCTTCCCTCAGCACTTTGGCTCAGTAGGGACAGAGGTTTCTGTGCTGTCTCCTGAGATTGCCTGGACAGACAGACAGATTAGATGGAGTGTCCCGGGGGCAACTGGAGCCACACAGGTATTAAGAGGAGTTATGTATGTTTGAGCGGATATTCAGGCCATGTGGGGTGATGATTAGTGCTCAGAGAGTTTACACAGGGTCCTCAGGGGTGCCTGGAGACACCCCAGGGAGGTGCTGAACCCTCTGTGGCCTGGAAATAGGGGAAAACGTGGAAAAACTGCCTGCAGGATGCTGGCGAGGAGGGGAGAGCCGACCCCAGCCTTGGGGGCTTTGGCTCTGGCCAGGAGGGTACAAGAGATGACTCTGGCATGCAGTGCCATCCCTGTCCCCACCTGCTGCACCCCAGGAGGTGACCCATGGGGTAGCAGAGGACAGCCTGGCTCAGGGAGCTCACAGCTCCTCACCTAGCCCAGGGCAGAGCAGGTACTCAATCCATGGGACACCCCATGGGCCACCAAACACACCTTTCACCCTCTTACTGCCCCAATCATCCCCATTGTGAATTTGACAGAGTTTGGGCCACATTCCTCTTCCTTGTTAGGAACCCAATCAGAGTCATCACCACCTAAAATGTCTTTCCTTCCCTTGGGGAAAATACTTTTAGGCACAAGATCATCTCAGCCCCTCTAGCTGGATGGTTCCTGCCATCCCCAGGGAAGCAAACCCCCATTCCAGCACCCAGCCAGAGTAATCACCACCTAAAATGTCTTTTCTTTCCCTGGGGAAAGTCTTTTTGGGCACAAGATCATCTCAGCCCCTCTAGGTGGATGGTTCCTGCCATCCCCAGGGAAGCAACCCCCCATTCCAGCACTAGTGCCCACAGCAAGAGCAGTTACCAGATGATTTAATGCTTCTGGACACCCCCAGCTCCATCCACTGCACCAGCATGAGGAATCAGAGAGGAAATTTTAGAGCCTTTGCTGATTTGTGGAGGATTTCATGCCCATGTAGGCAGAAATGTTCATTTCTGCTTTGTCTAAACATACTTCCCAATGTTTTCAGTTATTTTTAGCTCCAGCAGAGCAGTTCCAGCATCTACCAGAGGCTTCAAGAACTGCATGTTTCTGGCTTCCTCCATCATTACTTAGACCCCAAAACCACCTGCTCCTCCTCGATGTCCCCGTTCCTTGAGGCAGAGCTTGGATCAGCCTTCAAAGCCTTAAGTCTTGGGTGCACTTGTTTACACATGGGCACTAATTGGAAATATGTGATTATTAAAAGTGGATTAACTGCTCTGAATTAATTCTGCACATGGAGGATCTCATAGCTAGAGGGACAGTCTTGGAAGAGGGTCAGAGGAAAGCCTAAGAGAAATCCCAGCCCCAGGCTGGAGCAGGGACTGCTGTTCCCCAAGGCATATCCTGCTAAGTCCTTGAGCTTTTGCCATGGGGAAAGGTCCTCTGTTCCCTGGGAAGGGTGAGTGGGACAACCCAAAGTGACATCAAAACAGGGCTGGCAGCTCTATGGATACCTGTATAACTGCTAAGGATCCTGAAGGACCTGATCCACAGGGTCCAAGGAGGTTTTCCATGGGTATATCCACCCACCATGGCCATGTAGGCACATCTGGGACACATTACAGCGCTCCTCAGAGCTCGTAACAGAAGATCTGCTCCTCCAGCAGGAGCAGGAGTCTGTGCCAATGGAATACAGGTACATCCAGCTTTACCCATGCAGTATCTCCCACCATCTGAGGCACACAAGATCCAGGCTGTAAGAACCTGCTCTTTCACCTTACACCACCCAAAACTGCTCCAGCTTTGCTGCCAGAAGTGGTAACACCTTGAAACTCTCTATTGTCTCCTGAGCAATACGAGTTACACTAGCAGCATGTCCCCACCAGTGCTTCAAGGCATCAGCTCCCCAGTTTCTGTTTTGAAACAAGGACACTAGGGCAAGGAGAAGGAGGGGAGAGGAGCCTTACCGAGGCCGACGCCGCAGACGACGGCGGCGGCGATGAGCGATCCTGCCGACGAGCCGTACACCTTGCACGCAGACTTGAGGAGCTCAGGGGCCAACTCCAGCAGGGACTGCACCACCCCAACCTGGTACAGGGCCAGGAAGCCACTGCCTGAGAAAGAGAGGGAGAAAGGGGTGCTGGAACCTCGGAGATCCTCCACAGCCATCTCAGGGGTGAAGTGATGTCTGCAGCTTGATGTCTCAGGTTGTCCTTTTAGACCAGGTGAAGCTCAGGGTGTCTTCTCTGCTCCCTCCAAGCTCATGTCTGGCTGCAGAGGAGTCCAGAAAATGGATTTTGTGCCTCTTTTTCTGACAGCTCCGCGAGGCGTTGAGATTCCTGAGCTATTTTAATTGCTGCCTGTGCTAAAAACAGACATTTTCCTCTGATCAAAACAGCTCTTATAATCCTCAGCCACAGCCACTCAGATGTTCAGGGCTCAATCAAACCTCCTCTCTCCTTCCAAGGGGGCTGCAGTGTCCCAGGAGCCCTCCTGGAGATGGTCCCTGTGGAACTGTGTCTGTCACCCTTGGAAATGTCCGTGCAAAAATTCCTCTTTGCTTTGTGCTTTCTTCATCAAAGGGTGTTTTCCTAAATAGGATTCTCCATCAATCCCAGCTTAGGCACAGCTCAGTGCTGAGTGAGTAAAGGCTTGTATAAGACACTTAAAGCCAGAGGGTGTTACACAAGGGGTGGATGCAGGGCGTTACGCTGGGTTAGGCTTGGAGATATTCCTTCTAGTTGTTCCCTATTGGAAGGGTTTTGTCCTTGCCTGCCTCTTGGATATCCTTGGAGAGCAGCAAAACCCAAAGAGCTGGATTCGTTTTTCTCTCCTACAGTAGCACCATGTTCCCCAAATCTGTGCTAATCAAACTGCCTTTGGGCTCTCTGGCCTGGGGGATAGTGAAAAAAAAACCAAGGAGAAATGCAGTAGATTCCCAGTGTTTTTTCAGCCTTAATGATCCAATGCTGCTGCCAACATAGAGACTGAAAATTGCCGTTTTTAACAGATGTATTTGTAAATATCCAAATCCAGGATAGTAAATGTTGTGTGTGTTAATGCACATCAAACATGCATGTGGGTATGACAGGCTGAGGAAATGAGTTGTCCTTCCATGTGTTGATCTACCAGCCTGGCCAGGACAGTACAGGGATACAGAGGATGCTCTCAGCATCCTGATACAACCTTTGCACTGCTGGTTCACCCCAGATTTCCATACATTTTTCCTGGGCCTCTCGAGCCATTGCTAAGTCCCCAGAGCAAGAGTTGTGGCCCAGGGGCAGAGACCTCCAGGACATAAAGTGTCCCTGGCTCAAAGTGTCACTGGTGGCTGTCCAGTTGACATGCAAAGTGTCCCTGGGTTGAAGTGGCACCAATATCTGCCCATCAGCAGGTGAACATTGCCTGCATCCCCCAGGTCAATGTCACAGCACAGCCAGGACTGGTCCCTGGTGCTGTCAGGATCCACAGGAGCAAGTTGTCAGCTCCAAGATCTATTGAATCCTTATCTGAATGATCCTGGACATGAACAGCTGCTTCAATTAGGGTTTTTACACCCACAGCCTTAATGGATCTTCTCATTTCTTGCCTTTCCAGTGTTTGATGGTTTAGTCTCCCACATGTTCTAGCCTTCCCACCCTCCTCCTGGTGGTATCAGAGCCTTCATCTGTGTGATTCATGCAGTGGCTCCTCCAGGCTTTGGGAAAGCAAATCCCTTCATTTAAAGGACTTTCTTTGAGCACTGACAAATTGCTGATAGACGAAAGTATCATGTCTTGCTGCAACTGGCCCAAACACACAAAGACATCAAAAGTGCATGAAAAGGTTGTTCCCATTATCCCTGTGATTCAACTGTGCCTTGTGTGTGTGCCAGGCCCTGGGGAATCCAACAGGCTCTGCATGATGCTCCTGCTTCACTCAGCACTTGCACCTCCTCAGTCATGCCCAGCCCTGACTGCCAAGGTTTGGGAAGGGTATACATGATCCCATAGGATCTGTGGGAACATGCTCCTCTGTCCACACATTGTCCTGTCCTGCAGTGAGTCACAGGGAGCTCCTCCAGAGGTGTGTGTGGTGCCAAATCTCCTCTGCACCTTCACCTGCTGCAAACACTGTGACCCTGGGACAGTAACCCAGCAAGCATCATCCACCCTGGCTCAGTTCCATGCTCCTGTGAGATGAAACCTTGTCATCATCCTCTTAGTGACAGCAAATTTTGCACTAATTGGCTCATTAAAAGTGGGGCTGATTTCCTAAGCCTCCCCCACCTCCCCAGGAGGACTGACCACTGCAGAGACTTAGGATCCCAGCAGCAGCCTGGGGTGGGTTCAGGAGGAGTCCCCTGGTCACACTGAGCACTGTGGGCTGTGCAGGAGCTGCTTTTTCCCAGGCAGGATCTGTGCCCAGATGGTCAGTGACTGTGATCCCAGGGATTTTCGTGCGAGGCGATTGTCTTCGCTGTTGGAATCCACAACAGAGTGCTTAGGGAAGGATGAAGGTAATACCAAGAGTTGGAAACCACTCAAACGCCGAGGACTAATAATTTGTCCTTCTTTAAAACCTTCTTAATGTCTTCAGTGGCCTCAGGTTCTCAGTTTTATAACCAGGAGATTAACCCAAGGTGCTGGAATTGCTCATGAGAAGAGACCTGTGGCTGTTCCTGACCTCATCCCACTGTGCCAGGCTGGAGCAGCGTCACTGCTTTGGGTTGGGTTATTTGGGAGCAGGAGCCTCTTGTCCAAGAGTCTGGGCAGGTTTTGCTCCTTGTTTCCCTGGCACTGCTACCCAGATGTGTGAGAAAAGGTCCAGTGAGCAGAGAAGGAGGTGTTTGGCTCAGCTGTGCTATCAGGAATAGCACAGGAGAAGGGAATGGGAGAAATCAGCTGTTTTTCTCACTGGTTTTTCACCTGGCAGGTGTGTCCCATGTGCTGATGGAAAAGGATGACCTCTGGGAAGTCAGTGAGGAGACAGAAGCCTTTTCTTCTCCATGCAAATCCCAACCCACCCCTGGCACCGCATGAGCTCAGATGCAAAACACAGAGAAACATCCTGTGATCCTCCAGCTCTGTCCTCACCACCGTGACCCTGAGAGCAGCTCACCCTGCCCAGGCACAGCCCAGCCAGGGACAGGGACGTCAGGACAGGTACAAACAGACCAGAATAGTTTGGTTTCTCCTACAGTGAAAGTCTCCCAGCTTGGTTCTGGGCCAAGAGGAAACAAAGTGCTAAACGCAGTGCTTGTTGTTGGCAGGATCCAGGAATGGAGTTTGATGTTTCGCACAGTCCTAACTACCCCAGGCTAAATTAGACAGAGCCCCTGCAAGGTATGTCCCCTCCCTGGGGCTCTTCAGCTCTCAGTGACTCAACCCTCTGTGTCTACCAAACACATCCTTAAGGGCTTTGCAAACAGAGATGTGGGTGGGTCAGGCTGCTCCCATCCTGCCAGGGCTCTGCTTCCCCATTTTCTGTCACTTAGGGGTTTGAAAGGACTGAGAAGATCAGCTCCTCCCCAAGAAGAGGTGCTGGGCAGACCTGGACTGTCACCAGTGGCTCACAGGGCACCCCATGCAGGGCACTGACACAGACCCACAGGTTGTTCTGCCACTGGCATCACCTCCAACCCACTAGACCATGCCCCCTCTTGCACACTGCAAATCCCAAAACTTCACCCCCTTCACCTCTGACTGGGCCTGACCTCACAGGGGTGATGCTCCTGCTGGTGCCACCGCACTGAGCACTGGCAACTCCCTTGGCCCTGAGCTGCCTTAATCCATGGCCCAGCTTAGGGGTCTGGGCAAAGATTGGCTGGAAACATTCCCAGTGATTGGTGTTTAAATGACTCTGACATTTCACATCTTCTTAGAGCTCCTAGGTGAGACCCTGACAACTGTAAATCCCCTCAGCCCTCGAGGGGGTGACAGCTCCTGCGCCACTCGGGAATGAGCTTTACCCACTTCTTGGTGTCACATCAAGCTGCTTTGGGCTGTAAATCTCCTTCTGCTGGAAAGGGAATGGCTATGAATTGTGGGGAAATGGCAGGACAGCACCATGTATCTGCTTGGCAGTCTTGGCATCTGACTGGAAAGGAGCAGCCACAGCAGCTGGAGCAAAGCAAACATTATCCCACCTATAATAGCCACACACATCACCCAGCAGACAAATCTGGTTGGCACGTAGGCACCAATTTATTTGAGCTTTAGGGGTTTTTTTCCAAGCTGGATGCTTGGCTGAGAGTAGAAACTACAAAACTTTTACATTCACAGATAGAAAAGCACGTAAATAAATACACACACACAAACACCAACAACCCATTGGGGTCCAACACATGCCCTTGGCAGGAGCTAAAATACAAACACAGGGTGGAATTTGGACTTTGATTTAGAGAGTCTTTGCCCCCAGCCAGGTGAGGTTGCAGCATTTCACACTGCTGTGGCTGTTGCTGTAGTTTTCCTCAGGGGATTTAAAATCCACAGCTCAGAAATTCACCCCATGTCCAGGTCCCATCAGGGATTGTCCTCCTGTCAGGAAATCTTCATCCTTGGGTTCCCAGGCACCACAGGCCCTTCCCAGCAGCTGGTGTCAGTCTGGGCTGTCACAGTGGTCTGTCCTGAGCTTTTCTCTGTTCTGCTGAGACAGAAGGAAACATTCATGGAATCACAGAATCCTGGAATGCTTTGGGTTGGAAGGGACCTTTAAAGGTCACATTGTTCCATCCCTCAGGGACACCTTGCACTAGCCCAGGTTGCTCCAAGTCCTATCCAACCTGGCCTTGCTCCAGATTCATCCCATCCCACCCTCTGCCATGGGCAGGGACACTTTCCACTAGCCCAGATTGCTCCAAGTCCCATCCAGCCTGGCCTTGCTCCAGGTCCTCCCTGCTTAATTCTTCCTCTAGAAAGATTAGGAGAGGAATTTTTCAGAGGTAATTCCGACGCTCTGCTCATTGTGCTCAGCCTGACACCTCATCTGACCTCCTGGGACACAGCTTCCCTGAGCATTTGCCTTAACTTGCTGCTGGAAGCTCATCCCCAGGCTCCTCCTCCTCCTTACCTGGAGAATTTTGCCGTAGGGTGCAAAGGAATCTTCCAGGTACCGAGCACCGAAGCCCATGATCCTGTTGACTGCCTGGCTGCGGATTCCTGCCACCCTGGCAGTGAGGTGCACTGTGAAGGCAAACTGGACCTCGTGGGGGTTGATGTCAGGTCTGCTGGCTGTCATTTCCCTTTGCACGTAGGCATCAGCCAAGTTCTTGAAAGAGCTGTAGGACATGTCTCTGAAGAACACCTGCAGCCGAGTGTCTTTCCTCACCTGGGCAAGAGAGAAGCAAGTGAACACATGTTGTGATCTCATGACTCAGTGTGTTATCCTCGTGCTGATGCCTTCACACCAGCACTGCAGGACAGACAAACACGGTCACACCCAGATGGGGAATGGAAAGTTGTCATTTCCTTCATTTTACTGAGTGTTTCACTGCACTAGAGAAACAAAGGGCATTGCTGGACTTTCCAGCAGTGCAGAGCTTGACCCAAGTTCCCTCAGCCCCGTGCAGGTGTCCCCAGCTCTCCTCACCTGCCTGTCCAGCTCATCTCCTGCAATCCGGAGCAGGGCAACGATCCTCCTGATGGCTTCGTCTGCAGGGAGAGATCCCACGTTACCTCCAGCCCTTTCTCCAAGCCTCACACACACACCTGCTGCTCAGTGCCCAGGAAAACCTCCCTGAGCAATATTCATCCTCCTCCAGCCCTCCAAACCCCATTTCAGCCTGTTGCCAAGTGCCTTGTTACCCTCAGCCAGCAAACCCACATTCCTGCCTTGAATTTTGCCTTTTGTGTTGTCTCCCATGGCAGGGAGCTGGAATGATGTGGCCTTTAAAGTCCTTTCTAACCCAAACCATTAGGAGATTATATGGATTTCTGTCTCCCCCAATCAAGCTCTGATGCTGAAAATCTCCCCCAAAGTTATTCAGGTCACCTAAGCCCCTAGGTCAGGACTGAAGGAGGGTATGGATCCCACACAGGCTCTGCATGGGGACAAGTCTCATGGACATATGTTGTCTATACATGCCAGAAAGGCAACACTCACCAACCCCATCAGGACCCTGCAGCTGTGGTGGCTCTCCACATCCACTTGCTCTGCTGCTCTGGCTCTCACTGCCCTGCACAATCAGCCCAATCTCTTCTGAAACTCGTGTGTAGTAGCCATCAGGCTGCTCCTCCTCTGCTGGAAGAAAACCACATATTGAGAAGTGAGTCTTATTTTTGTTGGTAATGGACTGACAGGGAAAAGCAGCAGTAACTGGCTCTGTGTGCTGCTCATGCCCACCCTGGATTAGCTCATCCTGCTGGTGAAGGCAGCAGCTGCTGCTCTCTGAGCAGCACCCCAGTGGCTGTGACTTGCCCCAAATCCGCCAAAGCTTCTCAGAAATCCCTTCCCCAGCGTTTTGGCACGGGCAGGGCTGGGTGGGGATGGGTGTCCCATGAGCTGTGCTGTGCCAGCTGCCCGTGCTCAGCCCCAGAGCACAGCACAAGCAGCTTAGCACTGACCCTAGGGTGGTTTAGGATTTAATCTCAGGTCTCAAGTGCAGGTTTAAACTAAAGCACCATGACCCTTGGTTGCCAGAGAGGGGAAAACCTCTGCTAGGGTGATTACTGCCAAGCAGCTGACTCGGAGTGATGTGTGCTCAAAGCTTGAGCAGATCAACCCTTTCCTGGGCAGCAGGTTGGGGTTGGAGTCTCCAAAACTTAGCCTAACCCCCAGGAAGCCTCAGAGGGTGATGCTTCATTAGAAACCTGCACTAGACACGATAGGTTTCCCAAAGGAAGCCCAAGGGAGGTCCTGCTGGCAGTAGGGGTGGGTTAGGTCAGGGGTGAGGGTGATGATGGTCCCACCTGGTGAGGCTGGTGCCAGGACGTGCCGCAGGGGGAGGCAGCTGGGGCGCTTGGTCCTCACCCCAGAGCCTGTCTCTCCCCTCTCCTCCTCCCCATGCTTCTTCAAGGAGAAAACCTTCTTGAGGCTGGGTTTCCTCCTGGGGGCTCTGCCTGGCTGTGGGGATGTGCTCGAGTCTCCTCCGTGTCTTTTGGCTCCTTCTGGTTTGGAGCCATGAGGAGTTTTGGTGTCTTTCTCCTTTGCTTTTTGTCCTGGGTTTTCCTTCTGGTCCTCAGAGCTCTTTTTGAAGAAGAAATTTAAGACACTTTTGAACCAGGTTGGTTTTGAACCTGGGTGTTGGGATTTGCCCTGGGAAGAGTTTTTTGTGCTTTTCCCCTTGGGCTTCAGCCCTTCTTTAGGGTCCTCCTGGGGAGATTTGCTGTCATCATCCAGAAGCTCTTCCAGGTTTGGTGCTTTGGGTCTCTCCTCCTGTTCCTTCACAGGGCTGGATTTGGCACATGAATACTTGCAGAAGTCACTTTCTGAGCGTTGCAGTCCTTCTGTTGTCCTCCCTCTCCCTCCAGCTTTCTCCTGAAGGGACTTTTTGGCCACCACTTGGTTTTCACGGCAGCTCAGCGAGCGCCTGACATAGATCTCCAGCACCTTCTTGGCCCCTTGCCTGTCCAGAGAGAGGATCTTGCCCGATGGCTGCATCCCCACATCCCACCGAGGCATCTCCAGGGCTGGAGCCCTCACCTTGCTGTGGAGAAAACCAACATTTTCAGCCTGATTTTTCCTTTCCCCAACCTGCTGCTCAGTCAGGTTGGGCATGATGGAAATCCCCCCGAGTTCTGGTACCTGTGGGTGTTTGGGTCTCTTTATGTTCCTGGTTAAATGATAACCAGTTTTATAGGTGTTATCTGAGAGCTCCCGAGGCACTGCCCGCGTGGGATTTTACAATGGGCTATAAACACACTGATAAAGGAACCAAAACTGCAGGCAGGGGGAGATGGGATGGGCACGGAATGGGAGCCTGGTTGACATCCAGGGGGTTCATCCATCAAGGAAATCACCCAGATACCATGAGGCTTAATCATCCTATTCTATGGTCCCATACTATGACGAAAAACAACACCCCAGGAGCACCATCCTCTGGGGAATCCACAACATTTTGGAGTATTTCCCCTTAAAGGCTGCTTGAAATAAGCCGTTCCTCGACAAGGCCAGGTGCTTCCAGCCCTTGGAGAGGCCAAGGTGAGCTCTTGTCATCCTCAGTCACCTTGGGGTGACACAGCTCCCACCAGCACAGGGCTGTGAGCAGAGCTCGGAGCACTCACTCCCTGCCTTTCCCATCACCCTTTTCCTCTGAATTTACAAGCAAAATTAAACCCAAAACGCTGCTTTTGGAACACCAGAGAGCTGTGACAGTGCCTTGTGCTGGCTCAGCCTCCAAAACCAATTTCACCCTTCAGAGAACCAGACCCAACCCAGACTTTCTCCACCACTGAGCAGCACACAGGGAACCAGCACTGAAATCCATCACACTTGGCTGTACAAAGAGCATCAGCCTCTGCTCACCCCCAGTGAGCATCACCACAACACTCAGCACGTACACACACCCCACCTTGGCCTGGTTTGGGGCTCAACAAGACGAGTTTCCTTCATCCAAGCCAACACCAAAGCCCACCAACCCCGTGATAACAGATCATAGAATCAGTTAGGTTAGAAGGGACCACAGTGGCTCATCTGGTCCAACCAACCATCCCACTAGATTTGATCAGCACAACCACAACCCCCATCCTACTTCCATGGATTGCAGCACATTGGCCACATCCTTCTTTGTTTGCTGGTTTGGATTTTACCTTTCTGTCAGTATTTCTGCCCCTTGGACACAGGTCAGTACCAGCTCCTTGGCCATGGGCACAGAGAGGTCTCAGGCTCTCCTGGGACATACCTTTTTATACCCAAGCTGGTGTGTGGCTGGCTTAAGACCTGTTTTTAGCAGCCACCCCACCTTGGACTGTTTTGGAGATCAAGAAGGCAACTTTCCATCATCCAAGCCAACACCAAAGCCCACCAACCCCCCCTACAATAAACCATCCCGTTAGATTTAATCACAGCACAGCCACAACCCCCATCCTCCTTCCATGGATTGCAGCACATTGGCCACATCCTTCTTTGTTTGCTGGTTTAGTTTTTACCTTTCCATCAGTATTTCTGCCCCTTTAGACACAGGTCAAGACCAGCTCCTTGGCCACGCACATGGAGGGTTCTCAGGCTCTCCTGGGAGGTGCCTTTTTATACCCAAGCTGGTGTGTGACTAAGTCCTATTTTTAGCAGCCACTCAGGTTGGAGAGTCCAGTGTTTCCGCCTGGGATCCCAGTTATCACCACCCTCGTGGCGGAAAGTGGGTGTGGGTTTCAGTGGAGGAGAAAACAAGTTCCTTATGACAAGTAGCAGCAAAACAGCCTCAAAATCACCTGTCACCTGGTGTCAGCGCTGGCCTTTGAGACCAGCTATCTGAGGCAGCTGCTTTGGGTTTGGTTGGTTTGTTGTTTTGCACTGGATGTGATGCCCTTATATGGGCTTTCCTGGGTGGTTTTGGTCAGGGGAAGTCATCACTTTCTCAGACAAATGTGGTTTCAGTGCAGGAAGCAGATTATCCTGCTCACATTCCAGGAGCTCCCAGGATGCTGCTGTGGGATCACAGCAATTCTGGCATGTGGTGCTGTCAGGTTGTTGCCTAACACTGGGCATGGCTGAGCTGCAGCATCCTTGATACCAACCCTGGGGTCCTTCACACAGCCCCTAAACCTGCTCCCAACCCAAATCCTTCACACCCTGTGGCTCCCACTCAGCCCAAGGACAGAGCATCTCCCACCAGACACATCTGTACACCACCTTTAATCTAATGGCTGCACTCCATCATCTTAGAGGTTTCCTCCAACCTTGATGACTCTATGAATCTGCCCCTGGGCCAAGCAAATCTTCTCACACCTTTCTTACACCAAAGCCACATTTGGTCCCTGTCCCCACCATGCCCATGGGACTCTCCTGCAGGTGCTGCATCCCCTAAACCATGAACCAGGACCTGCTCATGTCCCAAATCTTCCTCCCACTCAGCCTTGCCCAAGGACAGAGCAGTTCCCACCAGACACATCTGCACATCCAAACACCTTTCATCTAATGGTGGGACTCGATGATCTTAGAGGTTTCCTCCAACCTTGATGACTCTGTGCATCTACCCCTGAGCTAAGCAAACCTTCTCACACCTTTCTCACACCAAAGCTCCGTCTGGTCTCTCTCCCCGCCGTGCCCGTGGGACTCTCCTGCGGGTGCTGCTCTCCATCCTCATCGCGATTTTGCCATCTGATGGCAAAGCTCCGCACTGCACTCGCGGGGACTGTGCCGGGCACGGATGCACTTGCCGGCACGGAGGCATGGGAGAACCCCTTGCTGGGGTTTCCCTTTGCTGGAAAACCCCACGGAATGATTTTCACCCCAGCAGCGCTGCACTAGCTCTGCTTTTCAGCTGGGAAGATGTGCAGCCAAGGTATCTCCTGGATAAAAATGGTCTTTTCCCGATAATGAGTTCAGTCTGGAATCATTTCCTCTCTATAAACCTGTGCCATAATTTCCTATAGCTGATAGAGAGCCAGTCCATGTCTCTCTGTTTCTCCTGAGCCCACACTGATGAATCAGTCTGGTATTGATTAGCAATTCCCTGGCTCAGTTTCTCAGCATCCACATCCCCTGGTAAATAATTAAACCCTCAGTGAGGAGCTCTGTGCTCCTCCCCAGAGTATGACACGTCCTGCCGTAAGCAAGTCGATTCCAGGGGGCGAGAAGGAGCTTCAGAATTGATTTTGTTGGATTGGGTTTTTTTCCCTCTGCAACATCCATAAAGCAAAAAGCCACATCCATTCCAGCCATGGGGCACAGTTTGGCCATCTCCAGTTTGGAGATCATCCAAGGCTGAGTCCAAACCCCATCCCTGCTCATGGAGGACTTCTCATGGTTCCACTGGGAATCAGCATTGAGTTGTGGCACAAAGATATCTGCAGTCTCAGGTCTGAACCATCACAGGGATGCTGAGGGGAGAACCATGACAAGGATGTTGAGGAGAGCACCTGAACCATGATGTGGGTGTTGTGGGGAGAACCTGGACCAGGACAGGGATGTTGAGAGGAGAACTTGGACCATGACAAGGGTGTTGAAGGGAGCACCTGAACCACAATGGGGTTGTTGAGAGGAGCACCTGGACCATAACAAGGATGTTGAGGGGAGAACCTGAACCATGACAGGGATGTTGAGGAGAGCACCTGAATCATGATGTGGGTGTTGAGGGGAGAACCTGGACCATGAGAGGGGTGTTGAGGGCAGCCACTGCTCCCTCCACCAGCCACGGTTTGGATGGACAGCACAGCCAACAAATGGCCTCAGAGAGAACCTCTCAGCCCAGCTGTGCAGCTCCTCTGATCCAGGAGGGTGCTGAGCACCAGCCCCCGAAGCAAATCCTCCTTTCCTCCAGCTCTGGAGCCTGAGTTTAGCTGCTCCCCCAGCAGACAAGCAGTGAGGCAGAGCTGTGCCCCAAACACCACCAGATGTGAGGCTGCTGAAGCATGGGTGATGTCCTCCAGGGAATGAGGCACCTGCAAACCTTTGGCAAGGGCCACATGGGGCACCCAGCTGAGTGCTGCTGCTGCCCCTGAACTCCAGCCATCTCAAAAGTCCCCAAGGGCTATGTGCTGTCCCTCCCCACACCCCCACACCAAACACCTGGCGTGAGCAGCTGTTACTTGGTTGTTTACCAACAGGGATGGGTCCCTGTTCCAGGAAATCAGCTGGTTTGCTGCTCTCCTGCCTCTGTTTATCACAAGGCAAGACATATTGCCCCAGGAAGGACATGAGAGTTCCCTGGGAGTGTGGAGAAAGCTCATCATTGCAACTCATCCTTGTGAAGGTGCTCTTGGGTTGTCACATTCCTAGGTCTCTCCAGCACAGCACAGCACAGAGGAGGGTTGAGGGCTTTGGGCAGCTTCCCAACCAGGAGAGGAAATTCCCAGCCAAGTCCAGAGTGACCTTTAGTCATCGCAGGAAAAGCAGAAGAGAGGTCATATCACACATTCTGTGAGCACAACACAAGCACTAAGGTCACTAACTGTCACCTGCTCCAGCACAACAAACACACAGGTGGAAGCAGTGGAATTCCCAGGAGCCATCAGGGCTGTTTCCAAGGCAAGAAAGGGGAGGGATGTCTTGTTCAGAGGAGATCGGGAAAAATGCACCTATGGGTGTGTATCCCAGGAGCAGCACAGGGCCAGGATGGGACAGTTGCCAAGGAAGGAGTTCTGTTCTCCCACCAAAGCTGTCCCTGAGGGCTGGGCAGGACTTACACTGACCCTGATGGATTTCACCCCAAGAAAGATCTTGGTTTAGTCTTCCCTGGGACTAAAAGCAGCCTTGGGAGGGAAGGATGAGGTCTGGGAGCTTCACTGCACCTTCCTGGGATGGTACATCCCCAGGCTGCAGCTTGGTGAGTGCTGAGTAACCTCCAGCCTCCTCTCCTAGCAGGAATTTTGGTCTCCCTTCATCCTTCAACCAGCAAGAAGTGGGATTTTCAACCTTTCTCAGTCACAGGATTTTATTTCCTCAGTGAAAAGCAATCTGAGAATATTAGTGGGTGTTTCTGTTTGAAACACACTCACTCTGTTCCCTCCAGGTATTCCTGCACCAAACTCAAAGCCAACAAGCATGACTGGGCTTACCTTCATTCCTGGCTTTGTTTCTTTTCACAGTATTTAATCAGCTAATGACAAAAAGCATTACCTGGAGGGAAAGGAGTTAAAGTGATCTCCAGTTTAGGGCAACCACAGAGTTTCAGCAAACTCACACCCTTAATCACAGGAGCAACCCCACAGGAGACAGAGAGATTATAATGTGCACCACATCTGCAGGACAAATGCATCCTTGGCTCAGGGAAATGGCTCATTCCAGAGCAGCAGGTTCACACTTAGGGACACCACTCACTGCAAAGGGAGTTTGGTAGATGCTCAACTCAGAGCACGTGGTCTGGTCTGCTCAGCACATCTTGCTGTAAGAAGAGTGATCTTCACCAGCAAGTTTGGCCCTCAAAGACAAGCATCAGCATCTTCAGAGCAGAAAGATCATATCCCTCTCCACGGAGAGAGACAAGCAGAAGACCAACCCACATGTTCACGTGTGCTTGCAGGGCTGGGGACAGTTTCTGGGTGTGTTTTGATAATGAAGCCCCAGAGATGTCCCAGCTTTGGCTCAGGGCAGGTTTTGAGATCCAGGACCAGCTCTGTGGCCTTCTGTCCAGGAGATGCAGGAGGTGCATTTCCTGGCAGAGCACAAGTCTGATGCACTGAAGTGTCTCCTCCAAAGATTTCCTATGGTGAACCCTCCAGTGGATCTTCTTTCAAATCTTCATGGTCCTCATTCTCCAGCTGCTCCAGTTTGCTGGATTTCTCCTGGACAACCTCCCCAGGAGTCTTCAAAAACCTGCAATACATTTTTTTATGACTTGAAGGGCATGTCCAAAAGACCCAAACCAGGCTGTAAATGCTGGAGCCTTTGCCCTCCACAAGGCCAGGTTGGATGGGACTTGGAGCAACTTGGGCTGGTGGAAGGTGTCCCTGCCCATGGCAGAGGGTGGAACTAGATGATTCTATGATCAGCCAAGCTCTGGAGCTCACCAGAGAGGATCTGCCTTCCCTGGGCTTTGCTGAGGATCCCAAATCTTGCTTGGCACCCAGGAAGCACCATCAGATGGGACCTGGAGCCCAGGCAGAGCCTGGACACAAACCCACTGGGATGCTTTTGCAGGAGAGGATGTTGCTGGATGAAACATCTGCCAGCATCTGGAGCATATCCCCTTCCCATGTCCCATCCACACTGTCCCAAGGCAGCATTTTTCTCTGCTCTGCTCCATCTCACCTGAACAAGAGCTTCTGCCCGGGCTCCTTTTTGATGATGTTGAGTTTGTAGTAATGTCTGAGCGCTCGTGACATCTTCTCATAGGTCATGTTCGTTCGGTTCTGGGGGGAGAAAAGGATTGTGGAGCATTGAGGAGAAGCAAGTGGCAACACCTGGTTTGGGTCTGTGGCAGCAGGACCACACATGGGGCATTCAAGGTGGTTCTTGGGCATTGCAATGTGAGTCTCTAACCCAGACTGGCTTTGGATCCACAGCCACCAAAGTTTGCTTGCCAGGGGATGAGATATTCCCTCTTCAATCACCAGGAGGTTGGCATCTCTCACTAGCCCTGTGCCCACTCTGTCCCCCTTCCCAGTCCCTGTGCCATCAGCTCTGAGGAAACAGCTCTTGCAGGTGACCTGCAGAAGTCCAAGGGTGCCAGATTTATTCTCAACTGCATTTACCTTGTGGTTCCCCCAGAGCTGGGCAAGTCCATTTGGGTTAACCACCCGGAAGACTTTGGCCTCCTTGTCCTCCCACTTGATGTAGGGCTCGTAGCGACTGTCCGAGAGCAGCTGGTACACATATTCCCACAGCAACCTGCAGTCTGAGCATGGGGAATAGAGTCACAGAGCTCCCACTGTGCCCCAGAGAGGTGGATCAGCAACAGCATTGCATGTGTTACCAGTGACAAGAAATACCAAGAGAGCCCAGAGGTGTCACACACACAACTTTTACTGTGAGACCCCAAAACACACAGGCATGGAATAATAAAGGGAAGTGAGACAGATGGACAGACAGGACAAAGGACCAGTTATTTCCCCAAGGAACCAGGCTATACATTCATAATTACCTGCAATTTTCCCATCCACTGGGGCAGACAGGGTGGTAGGAAAGGAGCAGATGGCACCTGCCCTGCAGCAGCTCTCTGAGCTCTGATGGGAGAGGTTCAGCGGCTCCACGTGGCTGAGGAACACAGGCTGCTCTGCACAACCCAGCCAGGAAGGAACCACGACTGAGGCAGCCTCAGCACTGCAGTCTGTCCCTGCAAAATACCCAAACAATCACCCTATGGCTCATCCTGGCAGGTCCCAGGAGATCTCCCAAACAGGAGGGGAGGGACAGCCCAGGGTGGTTATCAGCCTGGGATCAGCTCAGGCAGAGGAGGAAGGTGCTGAGGAAAGCCTGGGGTTTTCCTAAGGCAGGAGCTGCAGAAAGTCCATGAGGATTAGAGGAGATGCCAAGTAGGGGAAGGGTCAGATCCAGCAGGAAAGCTGGAACAGGAAAAGGCACCAGAGCACACACTCTCCCTTGTAAACTATTGTGAGGTTCATTGCCCTACGACTGAAGCCTGTGGAAGAGGTCAGGAAAGCACTCCTAGATCCACCTCCATGCATAGCCAGACACTGATACCAACCTCTCCCCACCCTGAGTCCTATCTGGGACCCCCAAGGCACTAACAAGACTCACTGTCCCCCACCAGCATCACCTGGGGCCTCTCCCCACTCCACTCTTTAGCCCAGAAGCTCCATTTCAGCTCAGCCCCAGCTCCTCAGCCCTCTCCCAGTATGCTGCAGGACTAGTCTCCAGCAGGGCTGTGCCCCTGCCTGGCTCTTACCCTCCCTGCTCCACATCTCAAGCTGCAGATGGACTTCCTAGCATAGCCATGGCCTTGCCTGGTCACCATGGACCTCCCTGGGGCTACCTAGGACTGATTCTGACCAGACATCATCCCTACAAAATTCCCTGGTGACTTGGACTTTGTTGGACCTGGTTGCCTCTCAGGTGATGTGGGATGGGTTCAGCTGGCTGAGCTTCAAACCCCAGCTGTGTGCACCCCACTGTAGGTGAGGACAGGTTCTGCCTGGTGGACATGTGCCATTCTCCATCCTACCTTCCTCTGGGCTCCTGGCTTCTCCAAAGGGGGAGGTCAGCAAGGGGCTGCACACCAGAGCTCTTCTTTGAATCTTGATGAACTGGAGTATTTCATAAAGCACATCACCTGCAGGGAAGGAAAGTCTGCTCAGATGACTTTGGGTAATATTCTCCCCCAGGTTCTGTGCTACAGAGGATGAGGTTGTTCCCCATCCCAAAGCGTTTGCAGTCCAGATGGACTAGAGGAATGAAGAGACTTGTTCTTGTCTCCAGCACCAAAGTGGTGAAGCCTGGTCTGTTGGGACCCATCCAGCCTCTCTCAGCAGTTTGTGCCTGGGTGAGCCTCAGAAACTGGGTCTGACCTGAGCTGGGGGCTCGGTGTCTGAAGTCCTCCTTGGTGAGGATGCACAGAGCTTTGCCATTCATTTCAAACTTGCTTTCGTCACTTGGCCGAAGGGAATATTCCTTCTCAGCCCACCTCAGCCAGTGGATCACGTCATCCTTGCTCCACAGGGAGGGCTGGATTCCTGAAACAGGGGCAACCTCTGAAACAACTCTGTTTCATAGCATGTTTCAGGGTTGGAATGAGCATTAGAGATCATCTAGTCCCAACCCCCTGCCCTGGGCAGAGACACCTCCCAGGTGGCTCTGAGGTTTCCATCCTCAAAACTGCTGAGGAGCAGGGTAGGATTCATCTCCATCACCAAACTTCCCCACTATATTAAGCATTCACAGGTCAAAACACCCCAAAGAGAGCAAATTAACCCTGATGACATCTTGTTCCCCTTGCCAGCAGGGAATGGTCCCTGGGTGGGACACCAAGGCTGTACCCACCATGTCCCACCCTGTGGGAGCTCCTTTTGGAAGCAACATTGACTTGCTCAGGCTCTACTCACTCAGCCTGCCTGGAAGCTTGAAGATGTCCCCAACTCTGCTGGGAGAGTGTCTGTCCTGGGATGGGGTTGGTAATAAGGCTGCCACAACAGCACTGGAGGAGCCAACAGCCACTTTGCCCTGGGGAAAAGAGATCAGATCCATCAGTGGGGGACAATTCCCAGCCCTGGTCCTGCCTTTCCTTTGGAGATGCCTCCACCTGCTTGAGCATTTTCCAACTGGTTTGTCACAGCAGCATGAGATGTTGTCTGCAGCTCCTCCACACTGGCTCTAAGTCCTTCACCAGCCCCAGGATGAGTCTCTGGTTGCCCAAGTCAGTGTTAGTAGCCAGAGATTCCTCTCTTTCTCCAGCTCTTTCCCCTGGCAAAGGAACTTACATCCTTCAGGCTCTGGATGGGGGTTATCCATCCCCACTGCCCCATGACTGCAGGGAAGGAGAAGATGGAGCCAAGACTGGCAGAGCCTGTGCTGGCTCCCAGTTCCTGCAGGATCCTCAGATGCTCATCAAATGCTCAGGGAATTAGGAGAACATTCAGTGTGTTAGAGTTGTGAAAATCAACCTGTCAATAGTGCTTAGATTTTGTCTTAAGAAATACTGTGTAAAGAGGTATCTCTAACTTTATCCCAAACGGTCACTTGGGCATAAGTGGAAATGGCCATCCCATGGTTTAGGGTTCCAGCCATTAAGTTCCAGCCCCTCAGGAATTACTTTTCTCTCTCAGACAGAGCACAGGAGCCAGAAGGGAGCTCAGATCCATCTAGATCTTGACATATTACTGGCAGCCAAGCAGATAATGTTTCTCCTTTAAAATCTATTAATGTGATTCCCAGCAATTTCTCAGCTTCATTCACTGGAAAATTAAGTATTGCTGGCAAATGGCATTTTCTGAAACAGTTCCCAACTCTGAGCTCAGGCAGGTTTTGGAGGTGGTTAGGCAGCCACCCCTGGACTGTGTGTGGGGGTAGAGGAGCTGAGCTCCCCCGAAAATCAAGGGGGGAGAAAATTACACTGGTAAGGGTTGGATACATCTTAAATGTGGGAAGACAGGCTGGGGACAGAGTGGCTGGAGAGCACCAGGCAGAAAGGGACCTTGGAGTTTGGATAGATAGAAAGCTGAACAGGAGCCAGCAGTGTGCTCAGGGGGCCAAGAAGGCCAATGGCATCCTGGGCTGGAGCAGGAACAGTGTGGTCAGCAGGACCAGGGAGGTGATTCTGCCCCTGCACTCGGCACTGCTGAGGCCACACCTTGAATCCTGTGCTCAGTTCTGGGCCCCTCAGCTCAGGAGGGACATTGAGGGGCTGGAGCAGGTCCAGAGAAGAGCAATGAGGCTGGGGAAGGGACTGGAGCACAAGTGCCATGAGGAGAGGCTGAGGGAGCTGGGGGTGTTCAGCCTGGAGAAGAGGAGGCTCAGGGGAGACCTTCTCACCCTCTGCAACTCCCTGACAGGAGGTTGGAGTCAGGTGGGGGTTGGTCTCTTCTCCCAGGCAACCAGCAGCAGGACAAGAGGGCACAGACTCAAGCTCTGCCAGGGGAGGGTTAGGTTGGAGGTTAGGAAGAGATTTTTTTAGGGAGAGAGTGCTCAGGCATTGGAATGTGCTGCCCAGGGAGGTGGTGGATTCACCATCCCTGGAGGTTTTCAAGCTGAGACTGGATGTGGCACTTAGTGCCATGGGCTAGTGACCACGGTAGGGTTGGACTTGATGATCTCGGAGGTCTTTTCCATCCTGGTTGATTCCATGGTTCTAAGAAATGCAAAGCTAATGTGCTCAAAACCAGGAGAATGGAAGACAGGAGCAAAGCACTCCATCTCTCTAGGGAAAAATGCTTCCCTGGGAGTTTCAGCA